CACACACACACACACACACACACACACACTGGTGGGAGGCCTTGTTCCTCAGAACTCAGTAGGTTTGGGAGAGCAGGAGAACTTAGGTAAGGAATTAACTGGTTCCTATCTCAGATCTGGTCGTGTGGCTGAAGGAAGCACTGACAGAAAGGGGTGGGGGAGGGGCTCCCAGGTCAGGCCAGGAAGGAACAGAGAGTAGCTCTAAGAGATCTCAAGTATGAGGGTGAGTGTGGACACCCATGAGGGCCGGGAGGACACCATGGGAGTGAGTCTGTAGAGGGGCCATGGAGGTGCACTCCTGCAATCCCAGCATGCATTAGGCTGAGGTAGAAGAATTTTCAGGCCAGCCTGAGCTACATGGCAACATCCTGTGTCAAAAAACTAACACATTAAAAACCACAAACGAAACCCCGCCCAAACAAAACAATACAAACCACGCAGAAACAAAACTCCAGGTAAGTTAAAAAAACAAAATGCCAACAAGACGGAGTCAAGGGAGCCTACGAATAACTGCACAGCAATGGGTAGAGCCCTGGGGGAAGGAAGCTGAGAGGCTTCCATGGGGCACACCAACAGATGCAGAGGCATGCGTGTCCTGAGGTTGGGAAGTTCTGGGCTTGTGCATGCCCTGCTCCTGTTTCAGTTGTGTTGGCCGGTGGACCTGATTGTACCAGGGTGTATCAGCTGTGGTGCACACAAGCACAAAACGGGCCGAACTCCCTCCCACTTGCTAAACTCATTGCTGACATCAGATTTCCCTTACTTACCTATCCATCTGCCCACTCATCTACCCTAGGCTGCTGGAGCACAGAGAGCCAAAGTTCCTGCCTCCAGACTACGAGAACGGCAAGCTGGTTAAGACTTGGATTCACTCTTTAGTATGCACGGCCCTCATGATCTCTAAAAAGCACCGAGACTTATAGAGAGAAGTGGCTGGTTGGACACTTGCCACTTCTATCTGCAACTCCAGCCCTTCCCCACCCCATCCCTGGGCCCTGGAGACGTTGTACCGCCCGCCGCCCCTCGGGGGCGCTGCTGGGCGGGGAGCTCGCTCGGCCGCTCGCCTCGCAGTGGGCTCAGCATTCACTCTAGTGAGCGGTGTGTACAGCTGGCTCTCTAGGCTCCGGGAGCCCCGCTTGCTCCAAGCGCACTCCAGCAGTCCGTGTCTGCTCTTGCCCGGCTCGACGGCGACATGGGTGTCCCTACCGTATCAGAGGCCAGCAACCCGCGCTGGGGAACCCTGCTCCTCGCTATTTTCCTGGCTGCATCCAGAGGTAAGATCCACAGGCGGTAGGGTACTAGGGAGAGCGCCAGGGAATACACCCCGGTAGGGTTGGGGGGACTCAGGCAGGATGGGAGTGCCCTGGATCCCCTCAGCCTGCAGTTATCCCCACCCTACTGGCTGCTCGCTGGGACAGCCCAGCAGGGTGCAGTGGTGTCTCCATCCTACATCAGGCACATCTGTAATTGCTAACAGCTGCCAAAACAGCAGGCACGGATGTCCCTTGGGGAATGCCTGCCAGACACTTTCCTGACCAGACAGCCCAGAGCAGGGACCATGAAGAGCAGCGTCTTTAAGGCAGGAGAGGGACAGGATGAGAATCGCCCTGTGGTTGCTGACTGGATTTTGACACCCAGGGAATCTCCCTGCCTTCTGGCACCAGAGTCTTAGAGAACTTAGGGGGTGTGGTGCTGTGACCCAGTATCCCTTTGACACTCCCGGGTGAGTCTTGATGGACACTCCCAGATCTGAGCATGTTTGTCACTTGCTCTGTACTGAAAGTCTGATGACCTGTTGGAGTGATCAGTGGGTTCCTGTCATTTACCCAGACTGCAGCTGATCACTAGGAAAGACACGGGACCCTCCCCTGAGCCCAGCAGCCAGTTGGGGATGGATAACTCCTCAGCAAGACACAGAAACCCCACACAGGAAGATGTCACTTCCAAAGTCCAGACTCACAATTTGTACATTGTCCTGGGACACAGCAGTTCCCCAGAGCCCAATCTTGTTTGTGCGGAGCAGAAGATATCAAAGAAAAAGGGAGATACCCTGATGGTTGCCCAAACAGTAGACAGGTGTGTCCCCTGAGACTGTCTGCCTGACACTTCCCTGCTCAGAACCCAGGGCACAGGTAGCTTCTGCAAGGCAGGAGAGAGGAAGGGTCCAGGGACAGCACCAATCATGGACGGAGTCGCCTTTGTCAGGATAAGAGATGGAGGGCTCAGCTCGGCAGAGGGAGCCAATGGCTGCATCAGAAAAGAAGGAAGAGGGTTAAAGGAATGAAAGGGAGGAGAGACAGGGAACTAACTCCTTATCATCACTGGGAGGCTGGCCTGGACCTCTGATAAGAAAGAAGGCGCCCACACCCTACAGACAGAACAACTGAAGCCCTGGCTTGCATGTTCCTTACCACTAGAAGGGAGAGCCTGAGGCAGGGATGGGGTGGTGATACAGTCAGGGGATGTTTCATTCCTAATGCCAAGACTCCTCACAGGGCACAGCTTCTAATAATGGAGAAGAGCAGCAGGCAGGAAGGCCAGTACGGTATCCACCTCAGGCCACTATCCCCAGTGACTCCACGAGTCTCCTTCTCTTCCCTACCTTTACTAGAATGGGATGCTTTCTGGTCAGCAGCCCCAGTGTGGGAAACTAAGTCCTAGCGCTTCAGAGCAGAGGGTCGGCAGCTTGCAGAGCACCTAACAGCAGAGAAGCCCTGAGGGGAGCTGGGCATTCTCATCCTAGGAGACTGCACAGCCCACTGCTTCTGCCTACTCAGACTGCTTGGTGAGCTGAAGGCCACCTCCCTTCAGCTCGGGGAGGTAATTAGGGATCCAGGAGGCTTTCGGGAAAGCGACAGAGGAAACTTTTAGCCTGGAGCTGCTCTGATCTCAGCACTGGCTATATTATAAGTCATAACTCACGTCTTCCTTCGGTTTCCTGTAGCAGACCTGGTCAGGAGGTCTAGGGGCTGAAAACTACCCTCCCCCTTAATGTCGGAGCTAGGTTGATTTGGAAAGAATTCTGTTTGGGGGTCTGAGGGGCGACTTCAAACAGTCAGAGCTTAAAGTACTTGGAGTACACAGAACATACTCCTTTCCTGGCCTGACATAGGCTGATGGGGGAGGGATTGGCTTTGGAACCAGGAGCCCTAGACCCCAAGGAGTGCAGAACCTCTTCCCCACAAATGTCCCTAAGATTTGAGGAAGTTACTACCCTGCCTGTCCTTAGTCTGACCCAGGAGCCCCATTCACGTGGGAGCACTGGTGTCCCAGAGAGGGGCAGCTGTCTTCCCTCTCACAGTAAACAAGCTGCAAGGCCCTATTGAGTAAACTCAGTGCTGAAAACCTCTAAACCGGTAGTGGTCAGCTCTTAGGAAATCCATTAGCCCTGCCCAGTAGCCTGAGGCTAGAGATGGCCCTGTCACAGCTGTTTCATGCCCAGGGGCCAGAAACATGAAGGAGGGCGGAGCTGGGAGGCTGTGAGGCAGTGCTTCCCTGCTGTGGATCTAGAGAAGGGGAACCAAAGAGAAGCTAAAAGAACCACCTCTTGTATGTTCAGGATACAGGATCTTAGGCCTAAGCAGGAGAAACAGAGGGTTCGCAGGGCCCATGTGGCCTATTGGTACTGACCGAGCCTGCTGTATTAAACTTGAGGTCCTAGATTCAAAGGCAACTATTGCCCAGGACCAGTGGCCTTGCCAGAAATTAGTACTGGCTTCTCATACCTACGGATTTTTTTGGAAAGTCTGGTTGGGCCATGGCCTTCCTGGTGTTTAAGCAAGGAGTCTGGTGTAGCTCTGCATCCTAGGGCTTTCTCTGCTCCAGCGTAACTGTTCACAGTGAGACCTGTATTCAAATCTTAGCTGGCCATCTGTAAGATGGGCAAGCTTCTTAGCATCCTTAGTCAAGTCTTCATGTGTAATTTAGGGTGGCATTCAGTCTCCCCTTAGACACAGCTGTGTGGAGCTGATGGACAAGACTTCCTGGGGTGCCTGGCCCTTGGGATCCTGGTAGTATGTCATCTCCTGGTTTCTGGGGACTCCATATTGGTGGCTTTTCATCTGAACTTTTGCTGCCTACAGAGCCCTGATGAGTGGTCGGGACTTAGGAGCCATGAGAAATATCACTGGGAATGCATTTTCCAGACCCCTAGCATTTGAAGGATACCCAGGCTGGTTCTGGCTACCCTTTTGGACTGAGAGTCTGAAATGGCCACAGGGGTGTTTAGAGGTCCTTCTCCTAAGTCTCCGAGACAAGAGGTCACCACAGCCAGCCTGGCCTAGGGTGTGCTTATTTGTGTGTGTGTGTGGGGGGGTGTCACTCACATCCCATCTCTATACTTAGGCTAGTTCTTATGGACCACCTCCAGAGTGAAGCTAGGGATGAAACACTCCCAACCAGTCATCCAGTAATAAACTTGCTGAGTTCTGCTACTAGCCAAGCACTCCCTGTAGCTTTTATATAGAGGGTCTCAGCTTCCAAGGGGACCCCGGGTCAGCTACTCTCTCATCATGGGGCTCCAAACACACACTTCTCCCAGCTGAGCTGTGAGCAGGTTGAGTGAAGAGGATACAGCTAGCTGATCCTCTCCCAGAAGAGGAGGAGGGGGAAGAAGGGGAGCACGGGGAGGAGGAGGAGGGGGAGAAAGAGGAGGGTAATTCCCCTCAGTGCATTCTGGGTTCATTTGCTTATCACCCTTACGTAGTATCTGCCGAATTTCTACCTACCTGTTTTTCCTTTAAATCTATACTTTTCTCTAAAGTAAAAAATTTTAAAGGAAATTTTAAGTCTGTGTCACAAGTGGAAAATAAGTGTCATTGGCCATAAATAGAACATATAAAAGAACACCTTTGGCAAGCCAGATAAAGGAATTAAATGTTAGCTGGAAACTTAGTCTGGGCAAGGCTCAGCATGTAAAACCTGTTGCTGTCTCTTATAAAAATAAGTGAAATGCTGGGCAGTGGTGGCTCACGCCTTTAATTCCAGCACTTGGGAGGCAGAGGCAGGCGGATTTCTGAGTTCAAGGCCAGCCTGGTCTACAGAGTAAGTTCCAGGACAGCCAGTGCTACACAGAGAAACCCTGTCTCGAAAAATAAAAAAACAAAAACAAAAACAAAACAAAAAACAAAAAAGAAATAAATGAAGTAAAAATTAAAAAGGACATTTTGGAGAGAGTGCCATCAACTAGGACTTTCTTTTTGACACAACCAGAGCCGAGGGAATACTGAAAAGGGAACCACCACCGCACTTTATGATTCAATGTTATTTAATGTAAAATCAAAAGTAAAACTACTTGAGTTATTACAGCTGCCAGACAAACTGAGCCCTCATTGGCCAGGTCAGCTGTCCATCTGTGGGAAGGAGGCAGAGCCAGTCTCTGGTTGCCTCTAGTCTCTGGAGAAAGCACCTGCTTCCCTCAAACCTGGGTTTAGCTTTTGTCCACACACTTATTCTCTGTGAGACTCTAGACAGCTTTCTTTTGTGTGTGGGCATCCTAACCCAAGCACCTATTTCACGGGCTTGGGAATTAATAAACTAAACATGCCCATGTGTGCGTGCTTAGGACACTACTGCCAAGTGAGCCCCTTGTGCGGATGGAATCAGATCTTAGGAAGTCTCCCTGGCCTGACCCCTGAGGACCTGTTTGAAGTGGCAATGGGGTTGACTTCTCCTCAGAGAGCTCTCCAGTCTCAGGATCCTCCAGAGGAGCCTCCTCCAGCCAAGGTCCTGGCTCACTGCCCAGTCCCTCCTCAGGAGGCACAGTGGCTAGGGGCCCTCCTGGATGCCTGCGGGTTTCCCAAGGCGCTGGAAGTGTGGCTTCCTCCCATAGAGCCCTGCTTCCCCTTCCCACCCTCCTTGGTCTCTATGAATGGACACTTCCTGCTGGGGCAGGGATCAATAAACACATCTGAGATACCCTTTGTCCTCATTAACCCAGAAGCCTTCACACAGACCTGCTGGCTTCAGCTTGCAAACCTTCACCCTGGGGACATTTCCTCTGGGTTTTGATTGGACCTTGCCTCTGTTTTCCCTCTGTACCTTACATCTTGATAAAAGATGTGGGTCAGCTTTTTCCTTCAAGCACCTGGAGAACATCCTGGGAAATGGGGCCTGTGAGCTGGGTGGGACCAGCTCTCATGCCTGGAAGACCAGAGACCCATCTCTCTCTTTCATTAAGTGTGAGGCCGGTAACTAATGGCAGACAGTCAAATAATTGTTTACTTGGCAAGCAAGCTAGCAGCTGGACAGACCTCAGCTGTCTGAGGGTGGGGCC